CACACACACACACACACACACACACACACACACGCACACACACACACACACACACACACACACACACTGCCGAGCACTGATCAGTACTTCTGGCCAGAATCCGGCCGCAATCACCATAGGAAGGAGGCCAAAACTTTCTTTTTACCAAGACGAACAGCGAAGGATAATTGCCTCACGAGAGTTTTGGCGATCTTGTCAACACACCTGGAATATCAGCATTGGGAATTCCTTCTCTCTCTCTGCATGTCAGCGTTAAAATCTTCCTTGCACCACAGTGATCCCACCAAACTAAGCACCCTGACCCCCATACTGAACCCTATGCAAAGAAAAACCCTAAATTGAATCTTATCCGCAGAAAAAGAAAAACTAAATCCTATGATTCCTATCTGGGGGGAAAGCAAAAAAGCCTGAACAGTGAATACTATTTGAAGGATACCAGCAGACTGAATCTTATTCATCCAAATATAGTGCTGTGGAACTAGTCCTTATACATAGCATCTAACAACAAAGTTGAACAAACGGACAGACATGCCGCAAAGGTTGGCTTGGGGGACTGCAGCAAATAAGCTGGAAGCAATGGAAGAGTGACACATCAACAATTGGTATGTCCATAGGATGGATTATATAGCATAAACAGCCAGAAATTGGTACCCCTTTAAACCCCTTTAAAACATGCTTATACTAGTACCTTGATACCTCCCAAAACATCCTTGGTGACATCACTGAATCAGAAGATAAGGCAGAATTCTGACTGCTCAGGCCAAGTGCACTCCTGGCTCCTGAATTTTTTATTTTTTATCTTTTTTCGTGACTTATGCCTCTTTTTCAAGTTCATGACCTGCCCGGATTTCCCTGGCGGCCCTGGAGGATGCCTCCCGCTTGGCCCAAGCATGCCCGACACAGGCAGCTTGCAGCCTAGCTACGAAGTTAGACTCTTAGGACCAAAATGACTGCTGTCGGGTTCCAGATTCTAGAAAGTGTACACAGATCATATGTGTGATGATATTCTGTTTGACGATATATAGATATACCGTCAAACGGAAAATATCTATACTATCAATTGCACAGCACACTCCCATTGTCTTACGGCCAAAATGACTTTCAGGGAAAACATGAACTCCCATTGTCAAATGCATGTCAGCGTACATCTAGCAAGAGCAAGTGCGCTTAAACGACCAGTACTTTTAGCTTTTTAAGCTTCCTTTTGCCGAAGCAGATTTTCCCCTGACCGCCCAAAAAGAACGAGTTGGTGCCACCAGCCATTTAGATCTGGTAGGTCATGCCCTGAAATTTGCGGCGCGTGTATGGCCGCATCAGAGAAAAATAGCTCGGAATAGAACTGGTAGTTTAAGAGGGATGGTGAAGGAGGGCACAATCTCCCGCGAGGGTGCCATGATCTGCTTAGACGACAAGATGCTCAAAGACTGTCCACAAAACAAACATCGACAAGACTGTGATCCAGGCCACAAGGATCAACAACGGAGCCATCAATGAGACAGAAAAACCACTGGCACAGAGATCGACGCCATGGAAGCAGCACGGACCACAGACAAGGAGATGCTGGTAACGGAAGATTCTTCCAAACGACGCTCCTCTCTGGTAAATGCCTCGCTTATCAACCCAGATGTTTCTGTTTCTTTTTCTTTTTGCCATTTTCAAATCTCCACAAATAATATCATAGGCTCATAGGTCCCGACTTGTCAACTTGCCTTCATCTTCATACCATCTTCTGCTAACCAAAGATAGTCATGCAGTCTTGGAAGATGTAACTTGAAAGACAAAGAACTAGGGTCTTCAATGTAACAACAGAGCATGTTCAACACCTGCGATCAAACAAAATTGAGGGGTTAGCTATATCTTATCGTTCGTGACATCATATGCTTTTTGCCATTTTTTTGTTTAATCTCTCTCTCTCTCTCTCTCTCTCTCTCTCTCTCTCTCTCTCTCTCTCTCTCTCTCTCTCTCTCTCTCTCTCTCTCTCTCTCTCTCTCTCTCTCTCTCTCTCTCTCTCTCTCTCTGTGTCACACACACACACACACACACACACACAAGCAGTCGTTGAAAAGAAAAAGAAAAAACACTTAGGCAAAACCCTGCCTCGGCACGGCTATGGCACTCTGTGGACTGGGCAATAATATATGCAGGCCGGGTGGTACCATTTGATCAGACGGCACCGTGTGGGCGAGTCGTGCTATGTGGACTGGACGTTACTAGCACACACAGTCCATGGCAGTGGCAAAAGAAAGAAAACACAGCCACATCAGGCACAATTCGACTACTTCCACCGCCAGGTGGCACTAGGTGGGCTGAGCAACATTATGTGGCCCGGGCAATAGGTCATACCATGCGGCAGGGCAGGTCATGCCATGTGGACTTGGCGGCACTATCTGGCATCTGGGTTAGATGCGTAGTGGGTCATAATATGTGGACGAGGGCAGATCGGATATTATATGGCCTGGGTGATACTAAGCCAGTTGGATGGCACTATGTGGGGCGGGTCATACTATGCGCAGTGGGTGGTACTGGGTGGGCTGGGTGGTATTACATGGCCCAGGTGATACTATAAGGGTAGGCTGGTACTATGCCGTGTGGGTCACAGCATGAGGAATCGATGGCACTACGTTGGCTGGCCACCACAGTGCGGGGTACATGGGCTGTGCAGCACAAACGATGAGTGGAAAAAAAAAAAAAAAAAAAAAAGCACAAAAACTTGAAAAAAGTTGAAAAAAAAAAAAAAAAAGTTCAAAAACGCAAGGCCATGTGTCTAAATGCTACACCCATCAACTGTTGATCCATGGACCTAAGCTCGAATCCTAAGAAGAGAAGCGAGGAAACAACTCTCAGACCTTTTTCTCCCTTTTTGGGGTGAGCTCGTGCGGAATCCATCCTGCAACCTGCTTGCTGACAGTCACGTGTCTTCTTTCCATGCAAATGGGCGTGCTATGTACTTGTACTCGAATGGGCGTGCTACGTACTCGTACTCGAATGGGCGTGCTATGTACTTGTACTCGAATGGGCGTGCTATGTACTTGTACTCGAATGGGCGTGCTATGTACTTGTAATCGAATGGGTGTGCCATGTACTTGTACTCGAATGGGTGTGCTATGTACTTGTACTCGAATGGGTGTTCTATGTACTTGTACTCGAATGGACGTGCTATGTACTTGTATTTGAATGGGCTATGTACTTGTATTCAAACGTCCACCAAAAACGACAACATGGAGAGATGCCCAGAAACAACAAAGCGAAAAAAAAAAATCATCGTCTTAGAAACAGCACGCCAAAAAAAAACAGTCAAAACAACACGGGCCGAAAACAACAAAAAGATGAAAAACTCACGCTGCCACTACCTGCTGCACCTGCGGGCCTCGGCCATGAGACTCGCCACTACCCTATGACCCTGCCGTTCGGTTTGGGAACATTATAGATATTGTCACATATATCTATGTATATAGATAATAGATGTATATAGATATATATATCGCCATAAACAACTACCCGGTGAGCCGTAGGCACATAGGGAAACAAATGACTTTTCTTTTTTTTTCTTTTTTCTTTTCAGACCCATGACAGGCACTGGACCTTTCGACAGTCAGCCACGTTTTTTTTTCAAATCCATCTTATGAGGCTACCTCCCTCCCTACCTCACGAGTATTCTCCCTAGCACATCCCCTACTCCCCAGTCGCACCTCATTACAAGGACTATCACCCAGCCACCCGGCCAGGGCGGCGGGGCGAGACCGCAGTAGTAAACACCAGCGCTAAGCAAGCCCCCCTACACCCTACCTAGCCCACAGTGGAAGCATAGCTGAGCAAGCCACATTGCACGAGTACTTCGGACACCAGGCATGACCTATTATACCACAAGCCTCCCTACGTGGAATCCATATATCGCATATTGATTGTGCTGATCGTATAGCCCCTGAAGGTACCCCACCTCGGCGCACTCAACCGCCCTTAATCTGTCGTGGTAGCCCAGTTGGTTAGAGCTCTGGCGCACCCCATGTACTTGTCCCCCACTCCAGTGCAGCGCCTATACAGATCAGTGAACACAGTACCTCAGTTGTTTGAGCTAGGATGTTGTACGTATGAGGTTTAGGGTTCAATTACATTCCACGTCTCGGCGAAAACACATACAACCACACACAAATGGTTCAGGGTAATATTCTATTCAGCATCCACAACATATATGTGACGATATATATATATATCGTCAAATAGAACTGCCCGGTAAACCGTAGGCAGAGAGGGAGAAGAGGACAACAAACGAGGGGCTGTGACAAACTGTTTATATATATATAATATATTTTACCGGGCAGTTCTATTTGACGATATATATATATATATCGTC